GAAGGCCTGGCTTGCAGTCTCTGCTCATATTCATTCCCCAAAGGTATTCTATTTTGGGTTGAGGTCAGAACTCTATGCAAGGCCAGTCAAGTTCCTCCACCCCAAACTCGCTCATCCCATGAATTTTATGGACCTTTTTCTGGTGCACAGTCATTTGAACAGGAAGGGGCCCATCCCCAACTGTTCCAACACAAGTTAGGAGTATGATATTTGTCCAAAATGTCTTGGCATTGCTACTAACGCTTTATAGAGTTTCCCTTCTCTGGAACTAGAGCCCCAAGTCCAACCCCTGAGAAACAACCCCACACCATAATCCCCCCCACCTCCAAACTTTACACTTGGCACAAATGCAGTCAGGCAAATAACCGTTCTCCTGGCAACCACCAAACCCAGACATGTCCATTGGATTGCCAGACAGAGAAGCATGATGTCACTCCAGAGAACATGTCTCCACTGCTCTAGAGTCCAGAGGCTTTACGCCACTGCATCTGACGCTTTGGCATTGTACTTGGTGATATAAGGCTTGAAGCTCTCTACACACCATTGTTGTGTTAATCTGAAGGCCACAAAGTTTGGAGCTATTGAATCTGCAGACAGTTGCCGACATTTGCACACTGTGCGCTTCAGCGTGCTCTGACTCTCGCTCTGTCATTTTACGTGGCATTTCACTTCATGGCTGTGTTGCTGTTGTTCCCGGTTCCTTCCCTTTGTTATAACACCACTAACAGTTGACCGTGGAATATTTTAGTAGCAAGGAAATGTTACAGATGAACTTATTGCGCAGGTGGCAACCTATCACAGTGCCACGTTTTGAATTTACTGAGCCCCTGAGAGTGACCCATTCTTTCACAAATGTTTGTAGAAGCAGTCTGCATGCCTAGGTGCTTGATTTTATACACCTGTGGCCATGGAGGTGATTGGAACACCAGGTTCCAATGATTTTGAGGGGTGTCCCAAGACTTCTTTTTTTTTTTTTTTTTGTTTACAAACGTCTTTATTTTTCAAGAAATAGACTGTAAATTGACATTACAGCATCAAATAGTATATAAAACACAAACAAGGCACAGATTAAGTGTACATTTCAAAAGGTACAATCATGTAGAGTAGAGAGAGAGAAAAAAAAAGAGAGAAAAGAACTTAAGTACATGAGCAATATAAGTAAAGAGGTAGGTAGAGTTATACAGCTACCAACAGAGTAACTCAATCAATCCAAACTTGGGTGTTCCTTAGTCATATAGTAAATGTCTGAGTTCTCCAGATTTCCCATTTTCTTATCCAATAGTGTAATGCATTCTTTCCTTGAGGAACACAGCATCAACTCTATGCAGCACGGTGGCCAATGGCACCGTGAGAGATTTCCAGTGTAGGGCAATAGCCCATAGGGTGGATATACAAATGGTATGGATTAGCCTCATAACCTCAGTCTGAACTCCCGAGATATGAGCTCCTAATAGGCAAGACTGCATAGACAAATGCACCGGGGCTCCTGCCAGTGCAGAAGCCACCTCAGAGATCTTGCGCCACACCAAGGAGAGGCCTGGGCAGGCCCAAAATGTATGCACTAGGGTACCAGCAAGGCCCCAGCCCCAGAGAAACATAGGTGGGACATGCCTGGATACAGGACCTGTAGTCTAGATGGGGTATAATACCATCTGGTTAATACTTTTGAGGGCTGTCTCATGGACAGAATGGAAACCCAATCCTCATCCCAAAAGGTGATACCACTATCAGCCTCCCATTTCTGTCTATAAAGAGGGGGTGAGAGAAAGGAACTAACCAAAAATTGTCGATACAAATCTGAAATAGGAGAGTCCCTAGGAGAGTCACGGCTAATGCGTTCGAAAAAAAACGAAATCAGAGATGAGGGTATAAGACCAAAATGTGAGTTAAAAAAAGTCTAATCTGTCGATAATGATAATATTCATGCAGCGGGGTATCAAAAAGTATGTGTAGCATCTCAAAGGTGATATAAGATCTTCCTTGAAAGTCAGATAACCTGATAAAGGATCTATCATACCACCAACGGAACGCCTGTGGAGATGAGAATGCCGTAATAAAATTCGGGTCACCAAAAAATTATGAACCTGGTGAAACAGAGGAGACCAGATTTAATTAAATTTATATCTGGACCAAAGCATTAATGATTGGGCTACAATGGAATTATGGATCCATAACGAGCGGGGGGGGGAATTTTGGACCATATTATGCCTGGTAGATAGAACGGACATATAGACTGAGATTCAAATCTGATCCATGGGACCTGGGAATTAATAGTTGCCCATTGTGATAACGAGGGCGTTTTGTTACGCCAAATAAAATTATTAATCATCTGTTGAAAGCGGTCTAGGAACGTTTTTGAGACCAGGATTGGGAGTGCTCTAAATAAATAAAGTAATTTAGGCAAGACATTCATTTTTACTGCCGTGACTCTGCCCAAGAATGGGATAAGGTATCCATGCCAGATCTTCAACAGAGTAGAGGCGTGACACACATGGTGGGTAATTAGCAGCAAATAATTTTGTGTCCCAATACTTTTGTCAACATAGTGTATATCACAAGAGGGAAGGGAACATTATCCTTCAATGGACTCCAAGAAAGGGATTTCACAATAGGAAGAAAAAGTAAATTTTTTCTTTCATCCACTCTTATTCATGAACTATGCAAGGGCCCCAAGCAGTTCATAAAAACAGAGGGGCGGGCACACCCCAACAGTAAAAGCTGAACAAGTAGCCAAAATCAAAAAGCTTTGAGGACACTAAGCAAAGCAGAGTGGACTAGTTATGGGAGGGGTTATACCCACTGGAGGCTGGCCTCAAGTTTTCGTGCTTAGTGTCTAATCTTCCTGTAGGTGGCAGTATAACTCATGGTTTATGAATATGAAGTACTGTTTCTGTCAATAGATAATGGAGACATTTACTTTAACCTTGTATGGCTGTTATTGTTTTGATAAGTCATTTTTATCTGTAGTAACTAAGTTGGAACATACATGTTAAATATGTCTTTCACAGGATGTTTTATTGGACATCAAAGAGACAGAATTGGCAGTAAAAGACAAGGAAACATCAGAGGTAAAACAGAGAAATGCCAGCCGTATGTTGTGCTTCTTGCCACGAGCATTCATTGTACACAGGCTTCTAAAGAATACAAAAACAGTGACAGGGAGAAGAACGTAGACTACAAATAAACTAATTCACTTGAGTGTCTCCAGAACTGACAACAGGAGATAGGATGGTGTGAAAGCCATTTAAAACTCTATCCTTTAAAGATACTTGTTCTTGTGTTTTTATATATATATATATATATATATTTATATATATATATATATATATATATAAAATACTGACTTGTCTTTATTATGATTAGGACCAAAAGATGAAAGTTGTAAACTTTTTTTCTAATCCAGTATGTATTACAGTGGGGCAAAAAAGTATTTAGTCAGCCACCAATTGTGCAAGTTCTCACGGGGGGACCTAGTGAATGACTTGCAGAGAGCTGGGACCAACGTAACAAAGGCTACCATTAGTAACACACTACGTCGCCAGGGACTCAGATCCTGCAGTGCCAGACTTGTCCCCCTGCTTAAGCCAGTACATGTCCAGGCCCTTTTGAAGTTTGCTAGAGAGCATTTGGATGATCCAGGAGAGGATTGGGAGAATGTCATATGGTCAGATGAAACCAAAATAGAACTGTTTGGGTAGAAACACAACTCGTCGTGTTTGGAGGAGAGAGAATGCTGAGTTGCATCCAAAGAACACCATACCTACTGTGAAGCATGGGGGTGGCAACATCATGCTTTGGGGCTGTTTCTCCGCAAAGGGACCAGGACGACTGATCCATGTACAGGACAGAATGAATGGGGCCATGTATTGTGCGATTTTGAGTGCAAACCTCCTTCCATCAGCAAGGGCATTGAAGATGAAACGTGGCTGGGTCTTCCAACATGACAATGATCCCAAGCATACCGCCTGGGCAACGAAGGAGTGGCTTCGTAAAAAGCATTTCAAGGTCCTGGAGTGGCCTAGCCAGTCTCCAGATCTCAACCCCATAGAAAACCTTTGGAGGGAGTTGAAAGTCCGTGTTGCCCAGCAACAGCCCAAAAACATCACTGCTCTAGAGGAGATCTGCATGGAGGAATGGGCCAACATACCAGCAACAGTGTGTGCCAACCTTGTGAAGACTTACAGGAAACGTTTGACCTCTGTCATTGCCAACAAAGGATATATAACAAAGTATTGAGATGAACTTTTGATATTGACCAAATACTTATTTTCCACCATAATTTGCAAATAAATTCTTTCCAAATCAGCCAATGTGATTGTCTGGATTTTTTTTCTCATTTTGTCTCTCATAGTTGAGGTCTACGTATGATGCCAATTACAGGCCTCTCTCATCTTTTTAAGTGGGAGAACTTGCACAATTGGTGGCTGACTAAATACTTTTTTGCCCCACTGTATATATAATTTTATATTTTCATGGGCAGCCAGCAGGTGGAGCTCTGGCATCCTTTTCATGTTTTCCACACTCTCCTTACCTGCTATGTTGATAAAAAGCCAGTTTTCAATAGCTCAAAATGAGGTTTATACGCACAACTGAATAGGCTCTACTTCTCTTCATGTGGCTACATATGGATTTACAGTCAAGACGGTGTCTTTAGGTACACTGCTTCTGTTGAGCTATTGGTTTAGAGAACACATAAAGAGGAAACAGACAGTCTGGAGCAGCTATTCATAATCCCCTCCCACTGTGCGGCCCGAACAGGCCACGGACTGGTACAGGTCATATGTGTTTTGGTGTCTAGAGAGCCATCAACCTTTATTCCATAACAAACAGGAATTTTTATTCTACAGGTCATGTTTCACTATCTGTACCCAGAGATTTCCAGTGTGGGACGCAGAATGGATAACAGGAAGGTGTTTGCATTGTGTGCCGTGTGAGTATCATGTCAAACAGAACATCTTGTGGAATTGTATAGCATCTTCCTAAAGCTGAACTCCAAGCAATATGTTAAATATACAGATGAAATACATACACTATATTGTCAAAAGTATTGGGACACCCCTCCAAATCATTGGATTTCAGGTGTTCCAATCACCTCCATGGCCACATGTGTATAAAATCAAGCACCTAGGCATGCAGACTGCTTCTACAAACATTTGTGAAAGAATGGGTCGCTCTCAGGAGCTCAAGGAATTCAAGCGTGGTACCATGATAGGTTGCCACCTGTGCAATAAGTCAATCCGTGAACTTTCCTTGCTACTAAATATTCCATGGTCAAATTTTCGTGGTAATATACCAAAGTGGAAGCAACTGGGAACAACAGCAACTCAACCACGAAGTGGTAGGCCACGTAAAATGACAGAGTGGGGTCAGCACATGCTGGAGCGCACAGTGTGCAGAAGTCACCAACTGCCTGCAGAATCAATAGCTAAAGACCTCCAAACTTTCTGTGACCTTCAGATTAGCACAACAACAGTGCGTAGAGAGCTTCATGGAATGGGTTTCCATGGCCGAGCAGCTGCATCCAAGCCTTACATCACCAAGTACAGTGCAAAGAGTCAGATGCAGTGGTGTAAAGCACGCTGCCACTGGACTCTAGAGCAGTGGAGACATGTTCTCTGGAATCACGCTTCTCTGTCTGGAAAATCCGATGGACAAGTCTGAGTTTGGCAGTTGTCAGAAGAACGGTACTTGCCTGACTGCATTGTGCCAAGTGTGAAGTTTGGTGGATGGGGAATTATGGTGTTAGGTTGTTTTTCAGGGGTTGGGCTTGGCCCCTTAGTTCCAGTGAAGGGAACTCTTAAGGTGTCAGCATACCAAGACATTTGGACAATTTCATGCTTCCAACTTTGTGGGAACAGTTTGGGGATGGCCCCTTCCTGTTCCAACATGACTGCGCACCAGTGCACAAAGCAAGGTCCATAAAGATATGGATGGGCGAGTTTGGAGTGGAGGAACTTGAAGAAAGTGAAGAAAGTACTGCCGAAAACCGGCAGTTGTCAGACGGGGGATCGGCACTGATGATCAGTGCCCTGATCGGTGCCCAGATGCTGGTGCCCAGCGGTGCTGCCCACAAGTGCCCAGCAGTACCGCCCACAAGTGCCCAGCAGTGCCGCCCACCAGTGCCTATCAGAGCAGCCCAGCAGTGCCACCCATCAGTGCCTCCAGTCAGTGCCCAGCAGTGCTGCCAGTCAGTGCCCATCATCAGTGCCACCTCATCAGTGCTGCCTATCAGTGCTGTCTATCAGTGCCTGCCCATCAGTGCAGCCTCAACGCACATCAGTGAAGGAGAAAAATTACCTGTTTGCAAAATTTTATAATAGAAACAAGAGAAATTTTTTTTTTTGCTCTTTTTGTGTTTATAGCGCAAAAAATAAAACACCCAACAGCAAGTAAATACCTCCAAAAGAAAGTTCTATTTGTGTGAAAAAAATTATAAAAATTTTATATGGGTACAGTGTTGCATGACTGCACAATTGTCATTCAAAAGTGCAACAGCGCTGAAAGCTGAAAATTGGCCTGGGCAGGAAGGGGGTATATGTGCCCGGTAGGCAAGTGGTTAATGACACTTTAATGATTTTAACAAATACATAGGTGGATGAAATGTGCTTAGAGCTCAGGTTGAAAGTTATTTTTTTTTAATAGAGACTAACTTTCTTTGTCTCCTCTATTATATGTCAAAGTCCTCTTGTCATAGCAGGGGATTTCGCCTGAGTGCCAAGGGGCTGAAGTCTGGACTGTTGAGACTTATCAGTATTCGCTGAAAGTGGAACTAAACCCTCCTATCCTTTACAGTTAAGGAAGCTGCCATTTTAGCCTCTGTTTGATCTGCAGTTGCCATGGTGCTGCACATGTGATTAGGTATAATATCAGCAGGGGCGGACCGACCATTCAGGCACTTGGGCACTGCCCGATGCCCTGGGGTCAGTAGGGGGCCCCATGAGATGCCCCTGGTGCCTTTCATAGGCTTTTTTGGGTGTGGGCTAGGACACAGGGGCCCCATGATCCCCTGTTGCCTGGGGGGCCCCATGAGTTGTCAGTCTGCCCCTGAACACCAGTCATTTGATGGCTTGACTGTTCAGCTGAGAGCACAAGCAATTGTTACTGTTAAAGCGGAACTAAAGGATGAATGCTTACTTGTCCAAAGGTCCCTTGTTGGGGTCAGCATCTTCTTCTGAGTGCTGGTCTTTGGTTCTCTTCATAGGCCGGCAAGGGATAATGTCACTTCTGACATGTGCAGGAGTTAGCCATCCCGACACTCAGAGACCAGCCTGACACTGTAAGCTGAGCTGCATATGCACAGCTCAGTTTACAGTATTGGAGAAGACATAGAGCAGGCAGGTAGGGCAATCTTATTGCAGAAGAGACCGTGCATGTCTCTTCTGCAACACCAGCCTCCTGCTCACTGTTGTTTTTTACAGCAGAACTTCAGCTGCACTTTACCATTCACAGCATGCTTTGAATGTAACTGTTTTGGGAAAAGATGACATCGATTTGTTTTAGTTCCACTTTAAGAACTGCTCTTTAATATACAGATGTTCAATGCCCGAGCTGAACATTTGGATGATGCAGAGAACTGTAAAAGTGCTTACACTATGGCCATCTACTCTGACTGATGTCAAGTCACAGCAGTTTCAGGAATTCATAGCTCACGTACTGAGTTAATGACTTTTTCAGCATTAAACATTGGCTACAAAATGACCAATATCATTACAGGCTCTTTCACACGGGCTTTCCGTATGTCAGTTTTTCATCCGTCTGTTTACAGATGAAAAACAGACATCCGTGTATTTCTATGGACTAGCAGATTTAAATCGATGATCATCTGTTTTACATCCGTTAATACAGAGGTGAGTGGGGGGAGGGAGCGCTAAGACGCATCTACCCTGTGTGCGTTTTGAAATGGACCATCAGCAATGGGGGTTAGTAGAAGGTCCATGTGGAGGTGATGTCCAAGTCCATCTGTAGTGGGGGGCTTGTAGTGGTATGGACTTGTCAGAGGAGGCAGCTGGCTGTAAGAGTTTGTAGAGAGACCACAGTGCCACTCTAAGTGTAGACGGTTTAAAATCAGGAAGATTGGATGGTAAAATTGCACTCGCATAGATAGATGCTCACTCCTTCGTCAGGCCGATCCGGTGGCCATCTTCGTATGGGCTTATATGGGCAGCCCTGCCTACTGGCTTTGCCCATATAAGACCACACTAAGATGGCCACTGGATCTGCATGACGAAGGAGTGAGCATGCTCCGAACGCGCACCATCTTGGAAACCCGGTCCATGCGGTGACATCATCCCTGCGAGCCTCCCTGCGCCCCTCTGCTACTCCCCGAGCCCTGGACACCACCAGAGCGGCGGGAAAACACCCAGAGCGCGGCCAAAGGACCTGATGCTCCCACTGGACCTCCATCACTTGACATGCCTATCTGTTACCTATCTATGTGAGTGCAATTTTACCATTAAATCTGCCTGATTTTAATCGTCTACACTTAGTGCTGTCTCTTCTTTACATCCGTTAACTAATTGCCGACCGCAGATAGCCGAATGACGGCTGCACTGCGGTCGGCCAGTTCTGGGTGGACGTCATATGACGTCCTGTAAAACGGATGCGGACATTAACCACTTGCCTACCGGGCACTTATACCCTCTTATTTACCAGGCCAATTTTCAGCTTTCAGCACTGTCGCACTTTGATTGACAATTGCGGTTTACATTCATTTTTTTTACAAGAAAAAACGTGACTGAGCTGATTTAAAAAACAGAATGTATGTGTGAAAGGACTCTACTTGCTCATGTTATCCAATGCAGTGTCTACTGATCATCGCACACTAGTGATTTGTAGCGCTATATTCATTTATAAAACTACACTGTAGCCAACTACAGGTCATCAAAGAATATCTAAGAATTGAAACAGACACAAAGTTGGTGATATGACATGGTTGGTGGTGAGACCCTAAGGCTGATTCTAGATACTGTAGATGATTTTGCTGAAGGGGACACATTGCTAGTATCAGAATCACCAAGGTGATCCAGCCTTTTCCCTAATAAAGTCCTGAGCAATGGAGCAACTTCATGCTGGTCTAGGCAGCGAGGAAGCAACTTCATAGAAGGAAATTGCTTCCGATCCTGTTGCTGGCAAGTTGTAGTTAGCCGCTTGCCGTCCACCCTGTAGCAGAAATACTGATACAGGGCGGCACGGGTGCGCAAAATCACATGTATATTTACGTGATTTTGCAGTTCCGTGTAGGGGCAGTTCCATTCGCGGCCATGGCTGTCAATCACCAGGTCCTGTCTGGCACCCGGTGATCGCCAAGTAATACCAACGGGGAGCAGAGAACTGTATGTAAGCAATATAGTTCTCTACCCTATCAGCTCCTGCACACTGCTTTGTATGGTTCTGCATAGCAGAGCCATACAAAGCAGTGTGCTTACAGTGAATCACACACACAGCACACAGTTAACCCTTTGATCGCCACAGATGTTAACCCCTACCTGCCCAGTGCTATTAGTACAGTGTCAGTGCTTTTTATTAGCACTATTCACTGTATTGGTGTCACTGGGGATGTCAGTGACACCAAGTCAGTTCCCCGCCAGTGTCAAAATGCTCGCTGCAGTCCCGCTATAAGTCGCTGATCGCCGCCAAAAAATAAATCCCAGTATATATACTGCCATTTGTAAATGCTATAACTTCCATGTAAAGTAATTAATTTTACACGTATATAAATTTTTTTAGCAAAGACGTAGCAGAATACATGTTCACCTACATTTTATGATGCAATTTGATTTTTTTTTTTATTTTTTACTGGACATGTTTAATAGCAAAAAGTCAAAAATATTGTTTTCTCAAAATTGTCACTTTTTTTTAATAGCACAAAAAATAAAAAACACAGAGGCATTCAAATACCACCAAAGAAAGCTCAATTTGTGGGGAAAAATGGATGTAAATTTCATTTGGATGCAGCGTTGCATGACCACGCAATTGTCAGTTAAAATAACACAGCGCCGTGACGCAAAAAAATGGCCTGGTCAGGAAGGGGGGTAAATCCTCAGGAGGGCAAGTGGTTAATGACAGTGGGGTTGATTTATTCAGGCTAGGTTCACATCTATGCAGGTTGTGATTGATGCATTTTTCTGGTGTGTTTTGTGATGTGTTTTTGAACATGCATATTTTCTGCATTTCTTTGGGGGGGGGGCGCTAATAGTTAAGTATGACAGTTCTGTTCATGTAGTGTGACATTGATGTGATTTTACACTCTCTGGCACTCAAGTAGCATCAAATTAGTGCAGGCACCTTGGTGTCCAAAGTCACATATTAGAGGTTAAGGGTTAGGGTGATATGTTGGGGTAAGGATTAAGGGCTAGAGTTAGGGTGATATGTTGTTAGGGTAAGGATTAAGGGCTAGGGTTAGGGTGATGTGTTAGGGTAAGGATTAGGGCTAGGGTTAGGGTGATGTGTTAGGCTAGGGTTAGGGCTAGGGTGGGTGATGTGTTAGGGTAAGGATTAAGGGCTAGGGTTAGGGTGATATGTTAGGGTAAGGATTAAGGGCTAGGGTTAGGGTGATGTGTTAGGGTAAGGATTAAGGGCTAGGGTGATGTGTTGGGGTAGGGATTAAGGGCTAGGGTTAGGGTGATGTGTTGGGGTAAGGATTAAGGGCTAGGGTTAGGGTGATGTGTTGGGGTAAGGATTAAGGGCTAGGGTTAGGGTGATGTGTTGGGGTAGGGATTAAGGGCTAGGGTTAGGGTGATGTGTTGGGGTAGGATTAAGGGCTAGGGTTAGGGTGATGTGTTGGGGTAGGGATTAAGGGCTAGGGTTAGGGTGATGTGTTGGGGTAAGGATTAAGGGCTAGGGTTAGGGTGATGTGTTGGGGTAAGGATTAAGGGCTAGGGTTAGGGTGATGTGTTGGGGTAAGGATTAAGGGCTAGGGTTAGGGTGATGTGTTGGGGTAAGGATTAAGGGCTAGGGTTAGGGTAATGTGTTGGGGTAAGGATTAAGGGCTAGGGTTAGGGTGATGTGTTGGGGTAAGGATTAAGGGTTAGGGTTAGGGTGATGTGTTGGGGTAAGGATTAAGGGTTAGGGTGATGTGTTGGGGTAAGGATTAAGGGTTAGGGTGATGTGTTGGGGTAAGGATTAAGGGCTAGGGTGATGTGTAGGGTGATGTGTTGGGGTAAGGATTAAGGGCTAGGGTGATGTGTTGGGGTAAGGATTAAGGGCTAGGGTTGATGTGTTGGGGTAAGGATTAAGGGCTAGGGTTAGGGTGATGTGTTGGGGTAAGGATTAAGGGCTAGGGTTAGGGTGATGTGTTGGGGTAAGGATTAAGGGCTAGGGTTAGGGTGATGTGTTGGGGTAAGGATTAAGGGTTAGGGTGATGTGTTGGGGTAAGGATTAAGGGTTAGGGTGATGTGTTAGGGTAAGGATTAAGGGTAGGGTGATGTGTTGGGGTAAGGATTTAAGGGCTAGGGTTAGGGTGATATGTTGGGGTAAGGACTAAGGGCTAGGGTTATATGTTAGGGTTCAGGGTAGCCCTTAACCCTAACATTTAACCCTAACATGCTCAGGCACTACTTTGATGTGGCTTTGATGCTACTTGAGCGCTAGAGAATGTAAAATTGCATCAAAGTCACACCACATGAACAGAACTGCAATACTTTTGAATTTTTTTTGGGGGGGGGGGGGGGTTAATAGAATTTTTTTGGAATAGCAAACACATCAAAAATGCAACACTTGCGTTTTTGGTACGGGTCCATTAAAGTCTATTACATGCAAAATGCAATCTGCAGTCCCTGAACTTTTCCAAAAAATACACCAGCCCAAAGACACAGATGTGAATTACATCCATAGGAAATCATGTTAAATGGACTGTAGTGCATTTCTGCAAACTGGAAAATGCACTGAAGTCCTCATAAGGCCCCTTTCACACGGGCGTTTTGTATGTCCGTTTTTCATTTGTCTGTTTATGGATGAAAAACGGACCCCCGTGTATTTCTATGGACTTGCGGATGTAAATGGATGAACATCTTTTTACATCCGTTAATGTGCGCATCCATTTTTTTTGAACGTAAGAAAGCCCTATTATTCTTCCGCAAAAAAAACCCCAGAACGGACGAAAAACTGATGTCAATGGACCAAAAACGGATGTAAAGGATGAAAATGGATGTAAACCAATGTAAACAGATGAAAAAATGGATGTAAACAGATGAAAAGCAGATGTAAACTCATCCGTTTTTTTCTTTGAAAAAAACGTGACTGAACTGAGGCAAAAAAAAAACGGAACGCCCATGTGAAAGGACCCTTAGTGTGAACCTAGGGGGAAAACTGCAGCGTACAATATCTGGTGCAGCTGTGCATGGAAGCCAATCAGCTTCTAACTTCAGCTTGTTCAATTAACCACTTGCCAACCAGCCACTGTAGAAATACGGCGGCAGGTCGGCACAGCTGGGCAAAAGCACGTTTTAAAACGTGCGCTTGCAAAACAGGTAGGGGGCTGCCGCCCTACCTGCACCGCCGATCCCGGTCGCGGGTGTCAGTCGCCGGGTCACGGCCAGTCGTTACCGGCACTCCGTGTCCCGCCGATTAGCGGCAATCACTGACAGAGAGCAGGGCTGCAGTAGCTCTGCTTTCTGTCAGTTCACTGACAGCTCCTGACACGCTGATCAGGAGAGAAGAGTTTATCAGTGTCCCTGTGCATTACACACCCCCGCCCCCTAGTAAAACACTCCCCTCACACAGTTAACCCTTTCAGTGAATAAAAAAAGTTAACCCCTTCCTCCCCAGTGCCAGTGTTTTTTTTTTTTTTTTTTTTGCACTGATCACTGTATTGGTGTCACTGGGGGTGTCAGTGACCCCAAGTCAGTTCCCCCCAGTGTCAGAATGTCCGCTGCAGTCCTGCCATAAGTCGCTGATCACCGCCATTATTAGTATAAAAATTTTTTTTAAATCCGAGTATCTTTTCTGCCATTTGTAAACGCTATAACTTTCACGTAAACCAATTAATTTACACGTATTGGGTTTTTTTTTAGCAAAGACATGTCGCAGAATGCATTTTGGCCAAAATTTATGACGAAATTTGATTTTTTACATTTTTTTACTGGACATGTTTTATAGCAAAAAGTCCAAAATATTGTTTTTTTTTTTTCTCAAAATTGTTAGCCTTTTTTTTTTTTTTATAGCGCAAAAAATAAAAAATGCACAGGCGATCAAATACCACCGAAAGAAAGCTCTATTTGTGTGAAAAAAGGACATAAATTTCATTTATGTACTGTAATGCATGACCGTGCAATTGTCCGTTAAACTAGAGTAGCGCTGTAAAGCCAAAAAAAAAATGGCGTAAATTGCAGTATCTATACTATAGTTTGTAGACGCTATAACTTTCACACAAAGCAATCAATATACACTTATTGGGACTTTTTTTACCAAAAACATGTAGCAGAATACATTTTGGCCTAAATTTATAACTATCTTTGAGTTTACTATATATTTTTTATAGCTGAAAGTAAAAAATATCATTTTTCTTCTAAACTTTTGGTCTTTTTTTTTGTTTATAGCGTGAAAAATAAAAAGCGCACAGATGATCAAATACCACCGAAAGAAAGCTCTATTTGTGTGAAAAAAAGGACGTAAATTTTGTTTGGGTGCAGCATTGCATGACCGCGCAATTATCAGTTGAATTAGTACAGCACCGAGCAGCAAAAAGAGGCCTGGTCATTAAGGGGGGTAAATCCTCAGGAAGGCAAGTGGTTTAGCTTTGAAAAAAAACCTGTAAGCTGTTTGGTTTCTTTACAGAGCTGCCCCAGATTTTACTCTCCAGTTTTAGTAAATCAATCCATATGCTACACCACAAATTGGTGAGGGAAACAATCCAGAACCTAATTGGATGAGTAAATCGTGTAAACGGAATGTACAGATCAGATAAGAGTCCTCAAAACCTGGAAGATGATTGGTTCCTATTCAGAGTTGCACCAGATTTTGCACTCTGGGGTTGATTTACTAAAACTGTCACTCGTCTGACATGGCCCTTACAGTGAATATGGTAAATGAGAGAGATTAAGGATGAAGTTTTCAACAAATATTTAATGCAAACACAAAGTTATAAATGTCCTGATGTTTTGTAACAAACACATCATCTCTTTTAGGGAAAAGGAAGGAGCTCCTGATATGAACTCTTTTAACTGTTTTGTGTTTGAGACACTTAATCAAAAAGAGTGTGAAGAGGTCATAAAGCGGATTGGTGAGTAATTGTGCTGATTTGTAAATACTGTTTTTATTCATAAATGTGTACAATTGCCAGATTACAGCAAAAGTAGACTGAGTTTATTCAACTTTCTGGTTCCCTGTGTGCATGTCCT